TGGTCTACAAACTCATCTCGAGCGTACAAACAACTCCAGATGGCCTAGAGCCATATAAAGTACCCATCACCACCTCTCTCACCTCACACAAGCAGCTATATCCTCACATCTTCCAACCCACCTAGCTCTCCCATCTAATCAGCCCAACAAACAATTTTTCCACCATTAAAGCACCACCTCACATCTCCATACCAAACACCGAAACCCCATCCCATCCACGAACGCAGCCGCCACCCCCATCTCGGGCAACTCGCCCGGACGCCACACTCCCCAACCGGGTGATCGGTGGGCTACCTTGGCTTCCGGCGATGCGGTCGAGAGGCACAGGACTGGTGTCGTGCAGGCAGTGACGTGTGGTGACTGGCCAGGTTAGCTATGTGGTGGCGTTCTGGAGGGGGAGAGGTCTTGCTTGCACGGTATTAGGCGCGGGGATTCAGGGGGAGGTAGATCAGTCAGTTAGGGAAGGCGATGAACGGTGCGAGAGGTTCCGTTTCCTTTTGTGATCGGGGTGTGTGGAATTGGATTTGTGAGATTGTTAAGAGAAAAGAGAAGTTTGTAAGAAAAATGTAGAGAGTACTGCCGATTATTACTGCCATCACCGGCTATGTGCGAATTACCGTGCTGCACCTTGGCCGGCGCTCCCCAATATCGGGACGCTGTCGAAACTCGCGATGACCTCACTTTACCTCCATCTGATAGCATTCCCTCCTCCCCCAATAGCCGTCATAGCTCTTGGCGCAATCGGTCCAGTAATCCGCATATTAAACAAATTAAACGCCAAGCCGTGCATTTCCCCCATACGGTATGGGCAGGTCGAAAATATCCTCCCCACTACGGTTCTAACAAGGGACCTCGTATTCCCATAGGATCTAATACTCATATTGCTCTCTGACAGGCGGCAATGATGATGATCATGGGTCCTCTCCCCCACTTCCCAGCGACAAAAGCTTTATTTCGACGGCGTTGCTTGACGCGGGGTGAGCTTGGTTGTTCTAACAGGCACAATTGCACGGCCCGACGGGTGCCGGGTGGAAGGATGGGGGGGTTATCACTGTGGTATGTGCAGATCTGGCATTTGCGGGGTTGATTGCGAGGGCGGATAATGTTGCTATAAAAGGGATATGCAAGGGCTGTCTTATAATGCCGGTGGTGTGTGCCGCGTGCCGCCTAAATGCTAACCGACTGTTTTCGGTGTCTCGAGATAGGACTTGGTGGTGTAATATCAACCGACGCCAATGGCGAGTGGTGGAAAATAGCGGCGGGTGGGATTAAGGTTAGGATGTAATATAAGCTTGTCTGAATAGCCAAATCGGTGTGAGGGTTCGATGTGGTGGGGTTTGTTTAAATGGAGGGGTTCCCCAGCGGCAGTTTCTCACTTTTCTTGCTTTCCATCTCCTTCGTATCGTATCCTTTAGAATCTTCAGAATGCATACCTCTAGTATCTGCTCGTTTCTTGCTGCGGCCGCCCTCGCCGGTTTGGCAGCGGCTCAGACTAAAATCAAGATCAGTAAGCCATCCCCTAGGAGATAGCCCAGAGCGAACCATTCTAACACAACCACACAGTGCCCCTCGGAGACAGCATCACAGAAATCACCTGCTGGCGCACCACACTCTGGGGCAATCTCCAAGCCGACGGCGTCACCAACTCCTTCGACTTCGTCGGCTCCATGACCAACAACCCGCAGAACTGCCAGGGCAACTCCGGCTGGGACATGCACCACGAGGGCCACTCCGGCTACCTCGCCATCAATATCGCCAACACCAATCTCCAAGGCTGGCTCGCATCCGCGAAACCAGACGTGGTTATGTTCATGCTCGGCACCAATGACGTCTCGCAAGGCAAATCAACCACCGACATCATAGCCGCCTACACCAAGATGGTGCAGCTGATGCGCGCAAGCAACCCGAATATGAAGATTATTGTAAGCCCGCCACAGCGAACCCCCCCCCCCCCCCCCCCCCCCCCCCCCCCCCCCACCCACCCCCACCCCCCACCCCCACACACCCCCCCCCCCCCCCCCCCCCCCCCCCCCCCCCCCCCCCCCCCCCCCCCCCCCCCCCCCCGCCCCCCCCCCCCCCCCCCCCCCCCCCCC